TATATATATATATATATATATATATATATTTAAACACACGAGATTAACTCTTTCATTCATAGTTTGTGCAATAATACAATGAGGGATATATATCTAAAAGTATCAAGGCCAGCATACAACTTAGGTGCCTTTGCTAATTTGCGTGAAACTAACTTAACTTGCTTAAGTACAAAACTGATTCTACGGTTTGTATGTTATAAAAATAAAAATTTATCATTTATAACATAACTGAAATAATATGTATATATATATATATATACTCTGTCCAACAACTTAAAAATTATTTATCCGTCACTTTATTTTTTGTTTATCATTTTCCACATATATTTTACACACTGTCCACACCCTCTAATAAAGGTGTATATTCATTCTCATCTCCATTTCCACCCTTGCACCAACTATCAAGAGCCTTTTCGCTTTTTCCTCCACTTGCAATAGAACATGCTCTTCCACTCTTGTCAACCTCCCAAATGAAATACACATAGAAGAGGAAAGTGTTGCCACTAATCACAAGCCCAAAGAAGGCTAGGGACTCAAAGAAGCTCAAAAACGTTGAGAACTCGCATGCAAATCCAAACATGATGGAACTGACCAACACCCAAATCCCAATTTTCAACTTGAGCTTATCATAAGATCGATCATGTGGAGGCAGCATGTTGTACAACCGAATCAAATAGTTAAAGAGGAAGGTGCCAAAGAAGACGAAAGTGACGAATGCTATCATTTGAATATCACCATTGTTGTATGCGCGGTAGATTGTAGTGCCACTCGTGATTGTCATGTTAATGACACCAAAGAAGGGTAGCATGGTGAAGACTCTTTGGTTATTATTATTCAAATTGGAATTTTCAAGTGGGAGAGGAAATGGATTGCTTTCATTTTTGTTGATCATAGCTTGGGAATGCAATTCTGAATTTGTGTTTCGTGTGTGTGTGTTGATTTGGTTGAGAAGAAGTGTAGAAGGGTAGTGTTGTGTTTTAAAAATGGGGTACTTATTTCCTTAAATATCCTTGATAACGAAGAATATTTTCTGTATTTTTTGTCCAATTGGTATCGGATGCATGGCTAGAAATTGAGCATGATGCACTTTTTCTTGTGGGAAACACTTGAGAAATTGCCTGTTCTTTTAACGCTTTTCTATTGAAAATTCATGTGTGAACAAACTCGCAAAGAAGAGGAAATTCGACAAGAAGTATCCGTTACTTAATGTTTTTGTTTTTCTTGGTCAACGACTTGAAGAATCTTCCTTGCTTTTTCGAATCTGTCATTTCTCTGCATTACCTACGCAATTCAAGTTCTCTTTGGTCGCACGACCATCATGTGATTCTAATGGTTTCGTAGGG